AGTTTCGAACTGCTGGCCTTAAGGTTCGCAGCCCTATTCGTAAACACTACGCTACCAGAGCTCCTTAAGATGACTATATGTGGATGGATTTACTACTGGATTCTCAATTCTGTTCCATTGATCTTTGTATCTTTTATTGTACCAGTACCATGCTGTTTTGACCACTTTGGCTGTGTAGTAAATTTTGAGATCAAGGAGTGAGAGGCCTCCAACTTTGTTCTTTTTAAGCAATGTTTTACTTATCTGGGGCCTCTTTCCTTTCCATATCAAGTTAATAATCATTTTTTTCCATCTCTTTAAAGGATGATGTTGGAATCTGGATTGGGTTGTGTTATATCTATAGATTACTTTGGGTAGTGTTGACATTTTTACCATTAAGATGTTTTGTCTTCCTCTCCATGAGCATGGTATATTCTTTAATTTTGTAAGTCTCTTTTGGTTTCTTGCAGCAGTTTCTTATAGCAGTTTTTGGTAGTTTTCTTTTGATTATGTCTTTTGTTTCTCTGGTTAGATTTATTCCTAAATATTTAATCTATTGGTTGGCTATTGTAAATGGTTTGTTACCCTAATTTCCTTTTCAGAGCTGTCTTTATTAGTATTGAGGGATCCAACTGAGTTTTGCATATTGGTTTTGTACCCTGCTACTTTGCTGAATCACTAATTAAACTACAATAAATTTTTGGTGAGTCTTTGGGATTTTCCTTGTAAAGGATCATATCATCTTTCTCCCATGGAGTGGCTTACTTCAGAACCATTGTAAATTTATATAGATAATTAAACATCATACAGATGATTAAATCAAGACTCAGTGTTGTAAAGGAATCTAAACAAGGTCACATAGCTAGCATATGCAAGAGAAGAGATTATGATTAAATTTTTCTGACTCTTGAACCCATAGTTTTCTTCCACCTTTAATTAATGTATTTTTTTCCTTTCCATAAAAAATGAAAATAACACAATTATCCTTTCCTAATTAATTTCTGTTTACCCTGTCTGTACAACAGTCACCCCATTACTCATAGTAAGTACTAATGAGCTCAACACTTCTGTTCATTCTACTTACTTATTCAAAATCTATTGGGAGACTGTATATTTAGTAATGTTTTAGGTATTATTGGGTCTCACATACTTTTAATAGATTTTTTCTGTATTACTGTAGTTTAGATTTGGTAATACTGAAGATGATGGACTAGAGGATTCAGTGAACTGTTAGAGCCACTGAGGTGATTCAACTTTTCTATATTACAACCCAAGGGAGAAAACAAGCTCTAATATTACAGGCATGTAAAAACACCACAGTGTCTCTTCTGTCATGAATGGAGTCAGAGACTCTTCTGGCCATGTGTCTATTTGTGATGTCAGTGGGAACTTTGACTATTAAGGGTGGAGTTGTCTAACTTGGATGATAGGGCTTGCAACTATTAGCAAAAGTTGGAAGTGCTTGTAACCCAGACTGAGTCAGAAGGATTTGAACCTTGGGCTTATCCTGACAGTTGCCTTTAATTAGATGAGCTTGACCTAATTAGAGTTTGGCATGACAACTCCAGAAAGAACCAGTTCTTTGGAAATCTTCTGACTTACCCAAGTTTTGTTTTTATTCAGCATCCTAGATCTTGTTTTTGTTTTCCATTTTCAGATTTACAATCGCTTAGATACAAATTGTTGTGGATTCAGACCGCGCAAAGAAGATGTCTGTGTACATAATGGACTGAAGCCAAAATGTGATGATCAAGATTCGGTGGCTTTAGCACATATTATCCAGCGAAAGTATGACCTGAGGCACTTGGTCTTTCTAGACAATAAAGGTTTCTTTGACAGAAGTGAAGATAACTTAAACTTCAAATTATTAGAAGGCATCAAAGAGTAAGTTTTATGATGTTGTAGCATCTGCAGGACATTTATATTTTAAAAAGTAGTAAGCTTTTGGGAAAACATATGCCCTATGTATGATTGATTTAACATTTTGAAAGGAATTGTGATTGTGAAATCTGGTAATAGAGGCTTAAGAAAGGGAAACAAACTCAAATGGAACAAAACGACAGTACAAACACAGTATCTTTCTCAACATCCAAAGCTCACTTTACATGTCATACCCATTGTGCTGCTTGTTCCCTCATGCTAAGATACCTGCAGGTTAGCTGAAAGATATTCAGATTCTTTACAATAGGGAGTGGCAGAGCAGAAGTAAGTAAATGATGAAGGCTTCCTTATTAAGGCATAGGTTATAATGTAGAGAGGACTACCAGAAATGCAATTATTGACATGTCAGAATATTCAAAGGCAGAATAAATTCCTGTGGGTTTTAGGAAATGCAGAAGAAAATGGGAAGCAGTATACTGAGTACAGTACAGTATCAAAAGATTGCAGGCAGCTATTTAATTCTGGTAGAAGGGTTGAGCATTTACAGCCGCCTGAAAAAGAGCTGACTTATACTACTTAGGACAACAGACATATTTCTATATAGGACAGGGAGGTTAACTCAGGAACCAAGAATTCAGGGAGCCCTTGAAAGTTTGGGGACATCTGGCAGGGCTTAGAAAAATGTAGAGCTGAGACTGGACCAATGTAGGATTGAAGAAGGAGTTTGCCATCCTACAAATTAAAATGCAATGGTTAGTCATGGCACACTTGATCTCACCTCTAATCGGAAATAATGGAAACCAGGAACTAGGTGAGTGGCAAGAACCCAGAGAGGAGTCTGAGCTATTCAACACCAGCTTTGAGGATTGTTGCTAGTTTCCCAACTCCACCATGGCGGGGCTGAGCTTCTCTCTGTAGTTCATGGTTCAGTCAGAAATCAGATTGATTGAGGAATTGGGTTAGGTTGAAAATTTAAGAATGGAGGAGTCAATTACTAAATAGCTCATCAGCTATGTGAAATTAAATGGCTTGCTGGATAGCATGTGATTAGATCTAAAATTGAATATATCAAAATGAAATATATATATTTTAAAGTAACTTGCAGTATCTGTGGTGGTGGTGGTATACCATTGAGTCAGTTCCAACTCATAGTATATGTAGTATGTTAACATTACCATTGCTAATATAATTCTGACAAAATAGTTAAACAATCTTCATAGGAGCATTAGAAACATTTTTATAATGAGTTGAAAGCTATGAATTATTAAATGTTGATTTTGTATACGTTCAACATTTGAAATAAAACTGCCCTAAGAGAGTTTTATGAGTCCTTATTTCATGAATTTTTATCATATCTTGTCTTGATAATAATGAAGGCAGATAATGTAGCATATTTACTCTTTTGTAGGGATCTAAGTGAGGGAGATTTAATGTATAAATAAATTTAATACCTACGTTATCACTTAATGAGTTGATATTGGGGTGATCTTAAAGTCTTTAAATTTCTTCTTAAATGTAATCATTTCTGGATAATACAGTCCATCTATCCCATACTTTCATATAAATACTATTTTATTTATTGTTTGAAAGAATATTTAACTTCAAATGTGTTAGAGGTAATGGGTTTTATATTAAATTTTCATTGAGTATATAATTTATACACTGAAAAGCAAAACTGAAGACTTTGCTAATCCCAGATAAATGCACTGAATTTTCTATTCATGAATGTAATATATGTTGTTGTTGTTATGTGCCATGGAGTCAGTTCTGACTCATAGCGACTCTGTACAGGATTTCCGAGGCTGTAAATCTTTATGGCAGCAGAAAGCCTCGTCTTTCTCCCGTCAGAACAGCTGGTAGTTTTGAACTGTTGACTGTGAGATTAGCAGCCCAATTCATAACCACTACGCTACCAGAGCTCCTTTAATATTTTATATATATATATATATATATATATATATGTAAAATTTCCCCTTCATTTATTTGTTATTAAAATGGCTAATAACTAAAGATGTCCTAATTGTACTGGTTTCATCGTATACCTTCTGCCATAGCTAAATTATTTGAAAATCTAAAGAATTAACAAATCATGGATTTTTAATAGTTCATAATGGGAAATGCTTATCTAATTAATTAAATTTATTTGGTTAGTTCTATAACCATTCAATTATACAGTACATGTGTTCAGGGAGTGTATAACATCTTCTAAGCACCATTTAATTCTACATTTACTAATTCTCTTGAAACATGCCCAGGTCTGTGTTCTCTGGTCTTCCTTCAGCATGGCCACTAAGGGAACATCTGGATTCCTTGAATTCCATGTGGCCTGTATGTCACCCTTACTTTGCTTTATCAAAATTTAAGAAAAGTGCTTATAAGGGAATGGGACTTCTGATGAAGTGTACTCTTTAAACAAGTATAGGTTCTTGTTTTAGTTCATAAGGAACAATTGAGTTTACATTACAAATTATGATTAAATCATTATACTTTATTGTATCTTCATAAACATTTTAATGAAAGTTGGGAAAGGTCAATGTGGGAACTTACCAAATATTGGCTATGTCTGAAGCATACATTTTGCTGAGTTCTTTAAATAGTATATATGACAGTTTATACTTTGTAACTAAAGAGAAGAAAGGAGAGTATACTCTGATAAAATAATTCTACAAGGATGCTTTAAAATTGGAGTTAGGTTTTCCATAGGGCCTTTTAAGGTGAAATGTCCTGACTCTTAAAGCCTGAGTTTTGCTAAGTTTATCTGAAAACAAATGAAGTATTTAATTGATACTCCAAAATTCAGAGAATTTCTGAAGTATGATAGGAATCAAAGGCAATTCTTTCTTTAGTTGGCATTTTCAAGTAACTTCTTTCTTTTTACTACATTATGGATTACTTCACATTGAATACATTTCCTACAGGAAGAGTACTTTACTGAAACCATCATCATTTTGCTTCATATTTTCTTGCATGAAATTTCACCTCGATACTTAGAGGAATACTATTTTACTTACAGGTAAAGGTAATTTTTATGAGAAAAGTGGAATTCAAGATTGAGGAAAGCTGTTTTTTGCCTAACAGAATCCTCTGTAATTTTCTGACTCCTTTTGCCTACACATAAAGATGTTAGTATGTCAGGTTGTGAATGGTATAGAAAATTCAATTCACATGAAGCACATTTTTCTAATATATTAATATCAAGAGATATGTTAGTTTGACAGTGACTAAAATGTTTTGGTTCTCAAGAAATCATTTAATAATGTGAGGTATGTCAGGTTAATGAAGGGTGGAGCAGGTGGGTAAGGTATAATATTTCCAAATAATTACTAAGAATGAACTATCACTTTATCTTTTCAGGTTTCCTGAATCTGCAGTTTCTATTTTGAAGAGCCAGCGCTTACGGCAGAAACTCCTTCAATCTCTGTTTCTTGATAAAGTTTATTGGGAAAGCCAAGGAGGTAGACAAGGAATTGAAAAACTTATCGATGTAATAGAACAGAGAGCCAAAATTCTTCTGACCTATATCAATGCACATGGAGCCAAAGTATTACCTATGAATGAATAACACTCTGGCTAGACAGCTAGAGATATTTATGTATTTTAGTTTTAAAAATCAAGTACACCAACCTCAAATCCTTTTTGGAAATATGTTGTAGATGAACACATAAAAATAATTTAATTTAACCCAGTATATATGGTAAGCTTAAGCACTCTGTTGTTGTTAAGTGTTGTGGAGTCAGTTCTGACCCATAGTGACCCTGTATAGTGTTTCCAAGGAGCAGCTGGTGAGTTTGAACCATAGACCTTGTTGTTCAAATGGACTTTAAAGTCAAGCACATTAACCCACAGTGCCACACCAGGACTCCTAAACCACCTTAAAAGAGATTTTAGAAACCCCATTCCAAAATTACTTATGTTTTTCTCTAACATGTGAGGTAGACAACAGCTGATTACAGATGAGTTTCATTAAGTCTTCTAACAAGCTTTGTTAAAACATTTGTCATGCCATTTAATAGAACAGTGTAAACCAGTGGTATTATGTCTACCAAATTTTTTTATTGGAATTGGAGGAGTTGGATATAGAGTATTCATATATTAGACCTTATGTCACTGAAAGACACTCAAGATAATCTTACCGTAGACATTCATATACAAACTTCAAATCTAGAACATTTTTCATTCCCCTCATGCCCTTAGGTACCCTGTTTCAAAACTTGTTTAAAACAAATTTACTGACTTTTTGTTTCTCTAAATTTGAAAAAAAATATCATTTAAGAATATTTATAATAGGTCTCCTGGTTTCTCAATCCTCTCTGTTATTGGTAAATTTTAACACATTTTCTGTTTTCTGATAAGGATAACTCCCATTGAGTCATTAAAGATATTATACTAAAAGCAAAGTTCTTAAAATCCACATTATTTAGATCCTAATTTACTCAATTTGAATAGATTCTAATGTCAAAATAACATGCTAAATCCAAGTGAAGATGGACCAAAGACAAAGCGATTATTTAACTATCTATTTTATAACTTCTTAGGCTCATGTTTAAGTACTACTTTTAGCAATCTTCTTTCCTAGGTTTGCCCTTAGGAAAGTGTATCCTCAGACCATCATCTCTTCAATTTTACCTATGTAGCACTGAGTACCTCCCTCTGCTCCTAGAAATTCCTAGTACTTTCTGCCTTTTCTGAAAGTCGTCCCTGGACTTTATAAGATTCACTTCTACTTGCAGTCCCTGAATTATTTAAGATCCTTTTGTTCCCCATCATAAATCAGTCTCTTAATGAAAAACTGGCTGAACAAAAGTTTGCAGACCTGTCTACCTGTTTGACCATTCAAAGTGATTTAAACAATACTTTTTTTCATCTTGTCTTATCAAAGTGACATATTTACAGCAGCAGTTCTTTATGGAAATAAGACATCTTAATTTAGACTTGTGATGTTGATGGTGAGAATTCCAGGTTCCATAGAAGCTAGCTTGATTTTTGTGTCTCAAGTCACACTGCCTTTGGGCAGCCTAGTCTTCCCATTGTGTCCATGAGTGGTGCAAATAGTTAAGCAAGCACTAGACTACTCACTAAAATATTGATAGTTCAAACACACCCAGAGATGCCTTGGAAAATAGGTTTCACAATCTGCCTCCATAAAAATCAGTAATTGAAAATCATAAAGAGCACAGATCTACTTTAAAACACATGGGTTTTTTTAATTAGGAATCAACTCAAAGGCAATTAATAACAGTAACATATTAACCGAAAACCATCCAGTGATTGAACAAAACAAATGCTTGAAAATCTGCTTCTATAAAGATTACAGCCAAGATAACCCTATGGAGCTCAGTTCTACTCGGGCTCAGTTTTAACCCGTGGGATTGCCATGAGATGGAATCAACTGAGTAGAGTAGTTTTGTGTTTTGGTTTGGTTTTCCTATATTTGGATCTGACTTTGTTAATTTCCTCCCGTTATTTCAAAATGAATGAAATTAAATAAAAATTTTAGAAACACGCATTTCAACCTCCTTTGCAAAATATAAATAAAACAATGGATTTTATTTTACAACTCATAAATAATTTCAGATGTATTATTTTTGAATAATGAATAGCTTCAAGCCAAGCTTTTCATTTTAATGAGTAAAATAATTTTCTCTTACTGAAACATGAAGATACTCTGTACATTTCAGACTAGCTTGTTCTACAGTTTGATTTACATAAGTACATTATGTGGTTTATTTCTAACTTGATAACAAATTGAAACCAGAAAAATGTATAACGATAGATTCGCAGAAGCTTATTCTTATGTGATATATTTTATTAAAACTGCTGATATGAAAATAAATAAATATCCTAATAATAAAACATTAGAAATTAAAGATATGTACTTTTTTATGTTGTTCTTTGGTGCCAACGAGTCAGTACTGACTCATAGCGACGCTATGTACAACAGAATGAAACACTGCCCAATCCTAGGCCAACCTCCCAATTGTTGCTACATTTGAACCAATGGTTGCTTCCACTGTGCCAATCCATCTCATTGGTGGTCTTCCTCTTTGTCTCTGACCCTCCCCTTTATCAAACATGATATTCTTCTCTAGTAACTGATCCCTCCTGACAACATCTCCGAAGTATGAAAGACAAAGTCTGGCCATCTTGGCTTCCGAGAGTACTCTGGCTGTATTCTTCTAACACAGATTTGTTATTTTGGCAATCCATGGTACTTTAAATATTCTCCTGCAACACCATATCTCAAATGCATCAATTCTTCTATGGACTTCCTTATTCACTATCCAACTTTTGCATGCACATGAGGTGCACCATAGACCTCAAACTGACATCTTTACTTTTCAACACTTTACAGAGGTCTTGTGCAGCAGATTTACCAAATGCAATACGTCTGATTTCTTGACTGCTGCTTTCATGAGTGTTGATGGTTGATCCAAGAAGAATGAAGCCCTTGACAACTTCAATCTTTTTTCCATTTATATGGATATTATTTATTGGTTCTGTGGTGAGGATTTCTTTTTTTTTTGCATTCATAGTTGAAATGTAATTTTACTTTTTCCTTTACTATTGTTCACATTATACTCCCTGTTTTGTCCTTTGCATTCTTACATTTATACAATACTTAATACTTTCAGCATTCTTTCTTTCTTTCTTTTTAAGTTTTTATTGTGAATTGAATGAAAGTTTACAGGACAGATACAGTTATCAGTTTTACATTCAAGAAAGCACACACCTTGTTTCATTACAATGATTATAGTACCCTCCATGTACCATCAGATAACAGTATTTTTCTCTATTCAAGTTAGGTTTTTTTTTTTTTTTTTTGAACACTCAGGCTTATATAATGATTTATACCACCAAAAGGCACATTCTGCAAGTCTGCCTCCTAGCTTCTAGGTCTTAGTCCCCCTCTTCCCATGAATCTAGAGTCCTCAGCTTCTCCCTCTCTCCATGTCCCAATGTCTGCCTCCATCTCTGGTATCGCTGCTTTTCTGGATCAGGTCTAGCATTCTGCTTGTGCTTTTCTTCCTTGAGGGTTCTAGGTGCTCTGTTTCTGGACTGTAAGATTAACTATTCCCCTGTTTTTGTTACAAAATTTCTACTTTTATAATGATTACAGTCACAATTAGTCATGATAACGATTGTTCACTATTGAATCATAAGAATCTTATCCCCATCCTTTTTAACCAGAGCCATCTAGACAAGATGAAAACTATTCAGTGGGGACTCTATCTTCCCCCACACACTCTTAAACTAAACTCACTTTTGAAACTTTGTAAGCCAGTCATTTTGTGCCTTTATCGCCCCCTCATTTTAGGTAGTCAATGTCTAAGTTGCTCATCCTTATTTACCCTGTGTACAAAGGGGATAGCATTGATACTTGATGTGAAGATTCCTTCCCTCTCTGTTGGTATTAAGAGTTACCACCTCCATGAGCATAGGTCAGGTTCATCAAATTATAGCAATTTACCCTCGTTTCCTTTATCTTTTTTTTTTTTTTTTTTAATCTTCCTCTAGTCTAATTCTGATTGTCAAGCCATTGAGGCTTGGTCAAATGGGTACTATCTGCAAGTCTGGGTTTTCTCGTCCATCTCCCCTTATATCACCTGGATGCTTCACTCTCAGCCTTTTGTTGCTATGTCCTTGTCCATGGGCTCAGATGTCCCCAGATCTCACCACACTTTGGACCAACATGCCCTTCCTCTTCTCTTTCTCATCTCCAGGTCAACAGGAGTCTTTGGACCATGGTTAAACTTAGCCCATTTATTCATTGCTGCCTTTCCCCCTCTTCCACTCACCAGTAGCCCAGTGTAGCCGCCAGCAAGCTTACATGCCTGCTCATATGTTCCCTTTGAGTTTCAGTCTTAGAGGGGAGTTTGTCCTGAAGGAACTTGATTGCTTGCCTTGATGGCTTCCCGGTGAACAGCTTGCTTGTTCCTGTAGTAGCCAGTCATACTGTCATTTTTGTTTTGGGTTTTTCCTGATGATCGTTTTCTGAAGATGTATAGTCTGTCACTCTAGCTATTCCAGGCTGGTCTTCTTGTCCTTTCTAGTGGGAATATTCCATCTCAGAAGGTTCTGGATGGGACTCAGGAGTTCACCTAAGGTCCTATACATTGCAAAGGCTCTGCAAGAAGCCTATTTTACTGGGTTCTAGAACCCCTTTTAGGTATTCCAATCAGTTATAGGTTGAAGACGGCCTTACAAGTTTTCTGTAATCAAGTTTCCTGACATTCCTTTCGATCCCACTCAAGTGTCTATTTTACAATAGTAGGCAAGGGAAACCAATATTCATAAGACAGTCAAGCATCTTAGTATTATTTCCCCTCTTCAAACTATGCCTAGATCTCTGTATCACAGAGCCCTGTTGTTCCAAATTTGAGCATGCATCACTATTTACCTCTGTCCCATTTAGCCCATGTAATCCTGTCTCATATTCCCCTATCTACCTTGTTCTTCAATCCCCCTCCGCCTTCTTGTATTGCCCTCCCTAACACCCAAACTATGTGTCTTCCCCCTACCCTTTGCTTTACCGTCACCTCCCTCCTTTAACCCCCTATCCCAACCCCACTGTTGTGGTTACCTTATATTCCATTAACTTTCCCTTCCATTTAAGTTAGTCTATTTTATCCTGTAATCTACCTGAAGTTTCCCCTACCTGTATGTCTGTTCCTCTCTGTTTACCTTCTTTCAC